ACACACACACACACACACCATGGGTAAAACCCTTTCAGCACTGTTGTTTGGGAGAGGGATAGAGGGCTGTCCAAAATAAAACAAGAAAACTGCTAAATCACTCAAACCTTTGTCAAATCATTGAGAAAAATATGAAAGACATGATTGGAGAGTGGGAAGAAAGAAAGAGGTGGTGAAGAGTAAGTGGAGGAGAAGTAAGATAGAGGAGGCTGCTAGGCGATCTGCTTGAGTGGAATATGAATTATTTGCATGCTGACTCTTCAGAGAGAGTTCACACTCTTCCACTGATGTCTCTTCTCCCCGACATCATCCCTCTTTCCTCCCCTTCGTTTCCTTTTTTTTTTGTGTTGGAGATGACAGGAGCCGTCCAGAGAGGAGGGGAAAAGAGGTGGTGGTGGGAGGAGAAGAGAGGAAAGTAGAGGTAATAGAGAGAGAAGGGACAGGGGGATTTAAATGGATGGGAGGGGAGAAGAAAGGAGGAGAGGAGAAGAAAGGAGGAGAGGAGATGAAAGGAGGCAACTGAAAGAGAGAGGTGAGAGGGATAAAGGTGAGGCCAGGACAAATCATGAAAAAAAGGAGAGTGGAGAAGAAAAGACTTAGGTGGGAGGCAAAAGAAAGGACTTGAGGAAGAAGTAGGACAAGGACAATGAGAGGAAAAATGGACAGGAAGGAGGAAAATGGTTGTAGATAGTAGAGAAAAGGATGGAGCGAAAGGAGAAAAAGGTAGACAGAAGAGGAAAAGATGGAGAGGAAAGAGGGGAATGGTTGTAAACAGAAGAGGGAAAGATGCAGAGGAAGGAGGAAAAACCACTGTAGATAAAGGGATGAGAGGAAAAGAAAAGAGTAATCGGGATGAGACAGAAAGGAGATCTGTGCTGCTCGGCTGGGCTTTCTCAGCCTGTCTCTGAAAGTCACAGATGCATGAGGGCTTCCTGTAAATAATTGAAGAGGGGGAGTCCCCCCCTACACACACACACACACAGACACACACACTCACTCAGTAGAAATCCCCTCTAAAGCTGCGTAGAGTGAAAGTGAGGATGTTTGATCATGTTCCAGCTCTATGACTGATGTGCAGGCCGCTACATGATAACGAATAAAAGTATTACATACAGTGGGTCTAATTTATCATGATGTCAGCTGCACTGCTTGATGTTTAATTGGCTGCTGCGAAGGTCCTGGCAGGTGTAGCGTGTTTTGGTTTGTGGTAAGGATGGGAAGAGGCTTATTAAACATTAAGAGGGTGCTGTGTTTTATCATGGTCCTGGTTTACCGTTATGTGATTGTGTAACTGGCTGGTTCAGGTTTGCACAGACTGAGCAGTTTATCAGACACAGTTTGGATCATGTCTCATATTAGTTATTGTGGATGTGTCAGGAAGTCGTAACAAATCAAATTCTAGTTCCTGCAGCTTCAGCTAAACATGGTGCACTTGGTTTGCAGGTATGTCTTGAAGAAACAGCCATCATAGCAAAATGTGAACTTATTTCTTTTCAAAAGAGTATATTTATGTAATGAATGTCATCTGATTATTTTAGGGAAATTACAATACATTTGTATAGTGTTAATCTAAGATGGACAGAGTAAATCTGAGTCTGTTTCCTTCACAATGACTGACAGAGTGCTCCTACCCCTCAGATATAGTGTCATACTTTAAATTAGCATCCATGGCACACATGGACTCAATAAATAGTCCCAGCTATTTAAACTGCACAGGCAGAATTGAGTGCTTTTGACTGGGGTCCCCCGATATGTTGGTAATCATTAGGATCACATTGATTGACAAAGTCATGCAAAAGTGGCCTTGTTGCACAGCAGACATTATGCATTGTCATTGCAGGAATAGGAGAGGTCCTGCTACTTCTGTTATTTGTGCACTATCACTGCCACTGGGACACTAAATGGAACTGAGCTGTCGTTACTGATATTAAGTCCACCTGTGTTTATCCTGCTATAACAAGTCAGAATCTCTGCTGTGCAGCCAGTCCATTGCAGTCAGTTGAGTGAGATATGACAAAAAGTCTACTTGGGTCTGGGGGTACTCAAGTCGGTAGGATGAGGGTTTTAATGAAACCTGCAGTATTAAAGTAATAGCACTCTCACCTGTCGAAACAGTCTGAGCTAAAGTAACAATACGTGTGAGCAGAAACTCAACACTCCTGGTGTGAGCACACATCATTGAGTGGGAACATTTTAATCACTCTGTGACTGCACTGTTATCATTGTAATCAGGACATTATGTACTGAATACTGAATACAGCGTGCATTTAAAGGTGTTTGTGGGGCAAATATGTAATTAATGCTGTTCTAGTTAATTGCATGTAATATTTGTTTGGTGGGTTCTATTTTTTTTTTTTTTTTGGTATTTAATTTGTCTATGTAAAGGATGATGTTATTTTACTGTTAAATCAAGTCCATTCACCCCCAACCAAAATGAGTTGCTTAACAGCCAAACAACAAGTGCAACATCAAAATACACAGAAAGCCAGTTAATATTACTGACTATTCCAACAGCAGGAAGTCCAGCTCGCTGTCAGTATTATTTCACAATTTTATTCCTCTTCTTATCACTCTGTTTAATTGAGTTAACTAGACAAGTTGCAGTTAGCAGTTACTTTACGATCCATCAAGGCTATCCAATCATTGACATAGTGGGTAGTGTGTGACTTAAGGTAGAAAAGTAACACAATGTTGCTTTAATATAAAGTAAAAAATGTTGTGTATCCTCACACTTAAAAAAATAAATGATTAATCAATTATCAAAATAGTTGCCGATTCATTTTCTGTCTATTAACTAATCACTACAATTTTGGTAGGATTTAAACATAGTAATGGTAGTACTTATACATAGCAACAGAGCGCTATCAAGATAATAATACCACTTTTACTTATATTGCCTACCTGGTCTCAAATTTAAATTCAGGACATTTCCTTAAATGGTGCAGTCTTTGTGCACCAGAGCTAGTTGAGCCTTAGCCTGTGTCTAAATGTATGCTGCTCTGCCCTTAGTGAGATTCTTTATCCTCTTATTGCATTGTTAATGATATGCTGCAAACTTAGTTATACATGGTAGGACTATTTTATTAATCCCAGATCTCAAGCATCTGGCAGTGTGAGGTTGTGCATGTATGTGTGGTGTGTGCACACGCCGGCGTGGGTTTTGGGTGTGCGCGTGTGCAACTAACAGATGGCACAGTGTGCAATGAGCTGCTATGTGATAATTATGGAGCATGCTGGGGAAAGTGGAAAAAAAAAGTGCTGATGAGTTTGGGACTGTGTGTGTTTATGTGTGAATGAGGCTAGGAGTGATGAGAGTGTGCAAAAGTGTGTGTAATGCGCACGTTGGTATGGTGTGTGTGTGTGTGTGTGTGTGTGTGTGCGGGTGTATCAGGGTGTTTGGGTAGGTGTAGGTGTCAGGATGTCAGCCGAGAGGTGAAAGAGGAAGTTGACTTTTTCAGTAAAATCATTGCACGTTTCCTGTAACATATCACTAATGCTGCTACTCCTACTATTATTATTATTAACTTCTCCTACTACTGCTATATGAATAGGGTGAGAAAGACAACAGAAAATGATTCTGTTAAGGGGTAAAAGAGCATTAATAAACAGTATTTTAAAAAGGCTTTCCGGTTGAGAAGTGATTTAAAAGGTAATAGACCATAACTGTTGTAACATAATTCTCCAAAGAGACAAAAACGAGGAACATTTGAGGCATTTTCTAAAGGATTTAATGAGTCAAACTGTTTGTGTACCAGTGTGGTCATGAGACGTGTGCTCGTGTACAGCAGTGCCCCCCTAAAATCTGCTTGTTTTTGAAATCTGAATTGTGCTGACTGTCCACCAGCCAAGATTAGAAATGGAAATGTATTCCTCCATGCCAGCTCCTGTGAGTCAGACTGTTAGAGCCCCAGTCTGTCTGCTCGAGAGGTCCTGGGAGCCCAAACACCATCAATTCAAGTCCATCCTCCATCCATCTTTTTCATCCTCTTGTTGCTCCTCTGTCCTCCCCCATCCCTATTTGTCCAGGTATCCTCAGGTCATAGAAACATCTTAGGGACGGCAAATAGCCTGCGGTCAAATGTGGTCCTCAGCAAAAAACTCTTTTTGTCTCCTCAGAAGTTTAGGTATGTTTTTAAGAAATCAAGGAGTATGAATCCAAAGCCCATTTAAATATAAATATAAACAGCCTTAATTTATGCTTTGATTATCAACTCTGCAGTGTGGAGATAACTGTGGACAGCTCCTGGTGCTGAAAAAAGTCTGCTACTATTGCCAGATGAATAACATAACCCAGAAAACAGTACATTTTACTAAACAATATGGTGGCATGTTTAATAAAAACAAATGTCCTGTTTTTTTCACACCCCCAGTCAACAATTATGTAATAAAAATATAGTCACATAATACTTAAGTAAATCCTTTAAATCAGCTCAGTCATATTTCATTCTTGGGCTGCTACTAAGTATTATTTTTAGTATCGATTAATCTGCCATGGGTTTTCTCAATTAATCGTTATATTATATTTGTGTATACATTAGGGATGAGTGAGTATACCATTATCTGTATGTGTTCAGCCAACTAAATGATCTGCATTCATATCCATACTCGGAATGGGCAGGATTTAAAGTGGAAGTGGGCGGGACTAACCAGAAGTTGTCAGAGCAATGTTTTTGATCACAAGAGTAAGAGACCTATTTACAGTTTTGTTTTATAAAAGTTGCAATATTAACAAAAAAACAACATTTTAATCCTCGTACTTGTAAAAAGCACATTATCTGTACCGGATATTCATACTTGCTCAACCCTTGTGTGTATATATATTGTAAAGAAAGGGAGATATTTTCACATTTTATTATACGATCCAAAGAAGCACAAATTCCTTGCATCTGAGACACCAGAGAGCTGTGTTTGAAAAATGATAGAAACAATGAATCAATTACCAAAAACAGTTAGCGGTGAATG